AATCGAGAAGATTCGTAATATTCCGTAACTGATAGTTGACTGGATGACTATCGTTTAATTTGGTCACATCGGTGCATACATATCGATAGTTCCATACTCGCTGAAAAATTCTTTTTGTCACATATTGGTAACGTGTTGGAAAATATGGGAAATTTTTGTAGTATATGTGGGTATCGAATTTGGTATTCCTTTTTATTGAAATAATAACAATCAATTTTACCTTTTTTTGTATAATTCCTTTTAAATTCCAATTTTATTTTATTTTTTAATACGGATATACCTACAATAGTGGTAACAAATGTTTTCAAGAAAATATGGCGAGCTTCTCTGATTGCATAATCACTGTGTTCTTCATATTCGTTTATGATTTTTTTATATTTTATTTTCAGTACAATTTTTCATTATGAATTTTGGGAGAACTTGTTAGACACTCTGATATTGATGTGGGGTAACCTAAATCTCTGGTTTAGATCTGCCCATTGACTGGACTCTCTAACTGTTCCCGAACCCAACACGAAGGTTAACTTTTTCAACGTACATTTGAGGCAGAGACAAGAGTAGGTTTTGTGGATCCTATGCGCATCAGAGTTAGGATTGTGTGCATGTGTATCAACAGTTCATTATGTCTGGTATAATATTAAATTAGTCGTATCTTACCTAAACTATGAAGCTGTCACGCGGCACAGACTGATTCTTTTTCGCCACGACAGGGAGATAAAAGTTTAAAAAAGTGTTGAGCACATAATTTTACAAGCAAATGTACTAAATTAGTAAATCATAGGTTTAATGTAACTCTACCTAAAATTTCTTTAAAATTAGTCATACATAAACAATATTTTTTTAAAAATATATACATTTATAAGATAATTAGATATATATTGCTTTTGTAGTCAATCTACTACCAAGGTTGTGTTTTGTACCAACTCAAAACATTGAAATAAAGTGAAACATATTCTTAGTAACACATCCGATATATATAGGTCACGGTCTCACGGACATGACATCATAAAACAAATAATCATTGTTATCTCATTAAATCGTTTAGAAGTATTAAGTATGGCAGCTCAATTGGTTGCAAGTAAAAGAAAAGGGTTTTGGTACAATTCTCATATGTTATATTTGATAGAGATTTAATATCTTCATTTTTTATCCGTCTAACATTCTGAATTAGTACTATTCCGAAGACAGAGATGTCTAGTCCAATGAGCTAGTAAGTTTATGTTGGATCTAGATGCTCTCTAAGATATCTATGACTTAGATATCCTTGAGTTTAGCAGATCACTGTGCACAAAGAAATAACAAACAACTTTTGTCAAAAGGGTGGTGTGTGTGCACAATAACAACATAATAGTAAGAGAGAATATCATACTTGTAAGCTTTATCTTTTATTTATAGAGTTTACTTGTGGGTATTGGATTCTGGACCTTCTGTGTCTCTTCTAGCGACCCAAGCTCATGCTTAATGATATCATATTATGATTGATATATTTGATGAATATCTTCCTTTAATTATATTGATTCATATTTGGATTGCCCTTGTTAGGCCTGGTAGTAAATGTGTCTCATATATGAGTCCATAACAAGTCACATAGTCGATTCATCGAAGCTTGTGAAGATACGGAGAAATGTAATTTGCTTTAAAGATTGGATTGAGTGAACTAAAAATAAAATAAAATGAGCCCTAGGTGATTATGGTGAAGAGTTATGATTCAACACATTACTGAGGAATGTGGATTATTGATGGAAATGACAATGACAAGCTAGTAGTATTGCATGAGTATAATTCTCTATATATTTCACAAATCAAAGATAGCTATATAAAAGTGACTCAGAAGTGCTTCCCTCTTTGTGTGCCACTATGGTTAGGGGAATGGCATTTCAAGGGATCGTACTGAAAAGTATCACTTTTTGTTCTTCTTACTCGAGGGAGAAGCAATATATTGAATTTTTTTGTCTTATTGAAAGAAAGAATTTTTATTACTTAACTTTTAAAGTTATAAATTTTTATTACTTAACTTTTAAAGTTATAAGGTTTAATGTTTGTCATTTTAAATGACATAATTTTATGTAATTCTTTAATGAAACTATGTCATTTTGGTATGTTTTGTCATTTTTTTAATGGACGAGAGAATATAAAAACACACCAAAATGACATAATTTCATTAAAAATATAATTTTGTGTCATTTAAGATGATAAATATTTTTCTAAAATTAAATGATAAAAAAAATTGTACGGTGTTTAAGTATTGTTTTAAAATATTTAATTTGTACGCTATTATTTTATCTGTTCTTTTGTTCATCTTCTGTATATTTTTAAAGAATGAAAGTTTAGAGAAAGAGATTGATATTTAAGTAACTCTTTCATTTTCAGGTTCTGCGGAGACTGCAAGGAAAAAAAATGACATGTGAGGTGAATCATTCAAAGGGTGCATACAAAAACCATGATATCATGCTTATGCATAATTTACGTTCATAGTTCCCATCGCAAAATACGATTTGCATCGGAACCGCACAAACACGCAGCTGCAATCGACGATTCAAATTATTGAAAAGTTTTTACTTCTCGCGCTAGAAAAGTTATTTTATGCCGTGAGATAAATGAAATAAAGTTTATTAATTTAAAAAAAAAAACACATCTTTTTACATAAATATAACATATAGAGATGAATATCATGTAACATGAAAGTATAATTTTCTTAATGAAAATTATATTTATAATTCTTTTTACATATTAAATTATTTTTACGGTAGAGATCCCTTATGGTACATGCCTTTACAATTATTTTTTAATTGTAAAAAATCTTGATACCTCAAAACAAATAATATGGAAAATTTCATCGATGTTACTGTGATTTACTCCAGAATTATCTATATTCTGTAATTTTTTTTTATCACATATTCCTCTGTAATTTGCAAAAGGGTATATTTTTTATTATATATGTCCCTGTGATTTTTACAAACTACAGGGGCTTATGTGATAAACAAAAAATCACAAAGACATAGGTAATTCTGGAGCAATCCACAAGGACATTGATGAACTTTTTCCTAAATAATATTAAAAATATTATATTCGTGCTTACCAATTTTATTTTATTTTTAAAATGATGGATGTGGAAAGCACATAAAAAATGAGTAAACAAAATAAACGGAATTTGATAAAGAGAAATTCTCGGTTCTCAATTTTAATTATTAAAATAATAAATATTCAATTTTTTAATGAAATTTTTTAAATTTTTTTATAAATTAATTATAAATCAATTAAAAATTTAAAATCTTAAAATAGAAAAAAAAAGGTTGGGTATTTGTCATCTTAAATGACATAAGTTATGTCATTTTAAGAGAGAGATAGACACAAAAAAATAGAAATCATGGGAGAGAGAAAGTGAGTAGTTTTTTAATTTAAATTTTGATTTTTTTTTCTTGTGTCTATCTCTCTCTTAAAATGACGTAACTTTATGTCATTTAAAATGACAAATACTTTTCCCAAAAATAATTATAACAATAACTATTTTTTAAAAATAAATTGATAAATAACTACAATTAAATTATTCAAAACACATTCAAAATCTTAGATATCAACTTATGCTAATTTTTTTGTTTTTCTTTTTTGATCAAATAAATCACAATAATATATAATGCTTTATTTGTTGCAATTTGTATACATAATCTATTGATTATGAATAAGAAGTGAATTAAGGGAAAAAAAAAAGAGGAAAGTTGAAGGAGTGTGTGGGTGTTAAGAAGTCACACATTAGATAACTAGTAGGAGGTGAGAGAATTTATAAGCTTATATCTCACACTTCTAGATTGCCCTTTGGATCACTACACTTTTATGAAGGAAAGAGAAGCTACGTGACATTTGATCTACCCACCGCACACGAATTGCTTCAATTGAACGTGTTTGAGATGCATGCCTCTAATTTATAATCTCAACCATACAAATTGTATTAAATGTCTTGTCACTTTAGAAACAATGTTAAACAAATATGCGTAATCTCTTCACTTGTGGGCATTGGGACTTTAGCAGTACCCCTGATGACACCGTATTGAGCAAAACCAAAACATAATGTGGCAACATGAGACTTAAATAAATTCTAAACACCCCAGTACCACTTTTGAGATGAGGGGTTTAAAGTCTTAATCCTGAACCCGTCCCGAATTGGATTAGTTGCAAAATAATGAATGGATTGGAATATTTAATTTCACAAAAAAATAAATAAATTTATAAAATTCTAAACAAGTAATTTCACAAATAAATAAATAAATTTATAAGCAGGCAGCCAGATAATTGGAGTGGCACACAACAATCACTGTGAATTAATGTGGGGTCAAAAGTAGTGATTTGTGATCTAATACTAGTTTAAAGTACGCTTTGCCGTTTCTTCTTTTAATTTTCAACCCCACTTTTCAGGTAGTTGTTTTAAAAGTTATAAAATAATAATTAACATATATTGAAAAACTTTTTAAACTTTAGTTTTGTATACGTAGCAATTTAGATTTGAATGAAATTATTATTATTTTATCAATCCAAATCAAATAAACTTAAGTAGTGTACAACAATGTGTGCACATATACATATGTTCAAATTCAATCAACCTTCCGACAAGCTCATGTTCCAGACAAATAATAAGTTAAAAATCTACATCACCGGCAACCCAATTTCAACCCTCATTATTGAATTTTCTTTATTTACATTTTTTTATTATTAAGTGCTATGCTTTTAATAAAATGAAGCAACGACAAAAGGCAAAACAATAAGAGAGATGGGACTATTAATTTAATACAAATAAAATAATGAAATCCGTCACTCATTGAGCAGAAAATATATATTTAAGATCTTCTCTAGACTCTACTCTCTAGAATGAAACAAATATCCGTGAACCCTCTCTGAATATGTGGACCACATTTTCTTGATTTAGTTAAATTTCCAATTGAAGTTTATACATATATAAATACCCAGTTCTCAATTCTCTCTTAGTAGTTACTTGTAATATGCAGAGTAGTTTCATTTTGTAGATTCAAAAACCAGAAATTTTCAAACTGAAAATCCAGCAAGGGACAGTTTTCAGAAGAAAATTGAAGTTGATTTAAGTAATGGGAAATTGCATGGAGACACACACTACGAGGCAACAAGATGTGGTGGTGGAGATGCAGAAGCAGCAAGAAGAAGAAAGAGGAACATCGAGTGGATTTGTGAAGACAAATGATAATGAAGGGAAGAATGGTGGAAGGGTGAAAATTGTGTTAACAAAAGAGGAACTCAAATGGTTGATACTTCAACTCAACGAGAAAGGAGGGATGAGATTGGAACAAGTAATGGAAGAGATTGAGAGAGGCAGAGAAAAGGTTGAGGGATGGAAGCCTTCTTTAGAGAGTATTTTGGAGGCTCCTGAAATGCTTGAGATAGAAAGATGATTTCCTTCGATCGGTTTCTTCTTTTTTTTGTAATGAATGTTGAGATCACATTTGTAAATCTCACTTAGAGTGAAGAGTGTTGAGATAATGAGGTAAATATCTATGTTCTCCTTCGTTTTTACAAAAAGAAATAAAGTTCTAGGAAATACTTGATGTATGTATTTTCCGCTGTTTGATGTAGAATTTCTGTATTTTTATTTTCTTAATTTTTACTGTAATAGTCTCTCTTGCTTTTTTTATTTTTTTTATTTTTCATATCGATGGTAATTAATCATTCAGGGGACAGAAAAAACACTCGTCTTTTAAAAAGGAGAAGTTTTCTTTCAGTACGAGTAAATTTGTAGAAGATTTTTATTAGAGAATTTGCATTTTTTATATAAAAATATTGTATGTCATCAATTTAAAAAAAATTCTCTAGCTATATTTTTCTACACATACTCTTTTGAGTCTTTCCCATTATTAAGTTGTTTGTTTGTAAAACAAACGGATCTTCACAATCTTTTCCTGATTTCCTTCTTTTGTTTTTCGGATCCCTTTTTCTAGGGGTTTTTTTTTGTTAAATGATAGCCCAGTTAAGCTAAATTATACCATGAGGGTCCTACTCCTACACTCCTACGTATATGCAATTGCTTTCATGTCATGTGAAAATTTGCGTTTTAGTATGTAGGAATTATTCTCTTACAATAATTTCCTATACTATAAAGTGTAGTATTTACTAATTTCTTATCGTAATGAAACAGTAGAAATATAAAATGAATAGAAGCATACGTTATAACGATAATTTTCAACGTCAGACAATCTTCTAAAATAGTTGATGTTATCCGGATAACTGATCAAAATGTCATTGTTCACCAATTTTTTTATCTAAATGCTACGCGAACAGTGTTATTTCTCAATCTGTCATAAGGACAAGTTCGCTTCTGACACAGGCGAACTCGGTTAACTGACGTGTCACATTTTTTGTGGATAACAAGTATCAATTTTTTTTTTTAAAAAAAAATAAAAAATGAACGTCGCCTACATGGTAGGCAAACTTAGTTAAAAACTCCTGTGTCAGAAGCGAATTCTGACACCACCAGCTTCTTGACACATCATCATGCATAGTTCACTACTGTTGCAAGTGACCTTGCCTGCGTGACAGTTTGGAAAATTAATTCAGAAGCGTGATATTTAGATAAATTTGTGTAGGAACGGTGGCACAATGGTCACTGTTCCATGTTATCCAAGAAAACTCGCCTGAGATAAAGATAATTCAGGCAAAAAAAACATATATAACGAGTAAACAAGTCCAAACAGCAATTTCCGCTTTTAAACGTGATAATAATTAATTTGGACAACACATAGAGCAAGTATAGTTTTAGCGGTCTATATTCAAATCTGGGAGCCGCGATATAAAATCTTGAAAATTAAATACATAAAACTAGATACATAGAGTTTTAAAATAATATATTATTGCATTTGGATAAGAATTGAGGAATTTAAGGCTGTTGCGCTATCAAAGATAAGAACGTTGTCATGATATAACACCTAAGGAATTGTCATGATATCAAGCTCAGGAATTTTATACCTGATTAAATAACATCCTTTTTTAATTATATTAGAAAAAAGAGTAATTTGTCCAAACAGCATATCTATATTTTAGCCCAGAATAACTATGTTGCTTATTCAGTAGAACTAGCGAGTAGTGCCAAGCTGGAAGCCTCGCCAAGACATCAGACTTGTACAAAAGAATTAGGTGTTCACACTCGCCGACTTGAAAAAAGAAAGAAAGAACAAACTGCATGTCGGTCATTAATTATATGCAAAACCTGTTTGGGATGATATTCTGTTTTCAATTTTCAATACTTGTTTTTAATATTATTTTTAAATTTGCTGCATATTAATTTTTTGAATAGGTTATATTTACAAATTTTTTATTTATAAATTCTTACAAATTACATTGTATACCGCGGGAAGTACGAGTACATATTTAAATGTTTGTACTCCTTGAAATATATAGTATAATTTGTAAGAGTTTGTAAACAAACAGTTTGTAAATATAACACTGCTTTTAGTTTTTAGAGGAAGATTATATTTACAAATATTTTGTTAACAAACTCTTACAAACTCAATTATATACTCCGAAGCAATGACGGACCCACACTATTGCAAGTGAGTGCACTTGCAGACACAAGTTTTTGATACACGTATTATCATTTGCAACTCTCTTCTTCTATTGCAAGTGTGACGCTGAAGTTTTTTAGCGGACCCACACTAAACATGGTGAAACAGTTAACATTTTATTTCTTTTATTGTTTATATTTTTTTTGTTTTTTAATGAATTTAAAAAAATTAGAAAAAGGAATTCAGCGCCACTAAATGTGCAGACATAAATAAAATTTTCTGGGTCCACTATTGCTCTGAGGATACACAATTAAGTGTTTGTACTACCAGAGTAGATAATTGAGTTTGTAAATAAAAAAATTTATAAATATAACATGGACCTAATTTTCAAAAGTAAAATCAAGAAAAACTTGTTTGAAGGAAAAAAAATTTTAAAACATTTTTTTAGTGCTAGGCATCCATAGGCAATGTCGTAGTAGCTTTGGCCATGGTTATTGCCTCCTACTTTATATTGCGATCATGACAAGTATATCGATCGTACAAGTAATAAAGTATAATGAGTAAAAGCATTATGAGGATTAGATTTCAACCACTAATTTACTATTTACGCGTAAGTTGGACAATCGATAAGAATATTATATGAAAACTAAATTAAATAACAAAGCAAGAAAGCAAAATTTGAGTTACTTAACAATCAAGAAACACAATTAGGATTTCAATTTCTCCCAATCTCACATTTTTGCTATGAATTAAACATACTTTTCATATCGCCAATCGATTCTCCTAAGTTAATTAAGACTCAATCATTTAAAATCCTAATTCTTTACTCTCTTTAAAAAATCCTAGTTCCCCAGTTGTTCTTCAAAGAAAATAAGCATTAAAGCTAAGAATCATAAAGATTGCATTATTCATATGTCTATCCCTAGAACCATAAGAATTAACGATGAATTTACCATTCACGGTTGATTTACCAACATCTATATTGTCATACACTCTCCCTCGATCAATCTACAAGATCGAACTCATAGAAGGCTTGGAAAAAAGATAAATTCATTCAATATAAAAGAAAATTAGACATTAAAAATTATTTGTAACATAAAGATTTGATTGAGTTTCATCTAACCCTAACTACAAAAGAAAACTAGCCTAACATAATAGAATCAAGAAACCAAGAAGGCTTCCCCAAACTCTACTGGTGTGATGGCACAGTGAACCTTCAAGGATCCCAGCGTAATCTTGACTCTGACTCGTCTTCGGCTCTCAAAAGCATGAAGAACGTGCTTCTCTGATGAAAACTATGCTTCAGGTACAAGTGTTTTGTGATTCCTCATAAAAATATATTAAATATGTGTATGAATCCGATCTTTGGGGAAAAATCCCGTAATAGACCAACTATGGTTGCAACCGGACGTTAATATGGGCTGAAGCGCGTTAAAACACGCTATTTTGACAACAAAAATATGATTTTATATTTTGGGCATAACTTGATCTATATTTGTCCGATTGATATGATCTTGATTTCGTTGAAAAGATAAAAGAAATATTTACAATTTCTCTGAAGAACACAAAATCCAAATCCATCATCCTAAATACAAAAAGTTGGCCAAAAGACAATTTCAATAAGATTTTAAGTAAATGATTACTCTTCATTTATCGCATTCAACTCAATTTTTTTACAAAATATGAAAAATTCATTCACATAAGTCAATAATTTAAACTTCATATTTCTTAGCCCGTTAAACTTAAATTTTTATACTTTTAACTAAATAAAAGAGTGATTTTAGATCTTAAAAACACGATAAATTAAGAATTTGTCAAAAATTTAAAACATTTTTTTAGTGCTAGGCATCCATAGGCAATGCCATGGCAGCCTTGGCCATGGTCATTGCCTCGTCTTCCCTATTAACAAATGGGCATTTTGGTGCCTTGCTCCATCCCATAAAATCATTACTCAACTCAAATTTCATGACAATGTTCTCTACCCTGTCCAGTTTCCGTTTATTATTTTTAAGATCGAGCAATAAAGTTAAGAAAAGAGAAGCTGAAATATTTAATTCTTTGCTTATTTCATCGAAGTCAAAACGTCATATTTTCTTGATGTGAACACTTACGAAGTGGCCCCGGGCGGGCGAAAGAATCCAAAATCTTATTTGAGTACCTAATAACGTCACCGATGACTACTCCCGAGGATTCAAAAAACAATATCACGAAATTATATAAAATGATTCAATCAACAAATGAAAAGGTGGAAAAGAAAAACAGCTGGCGATCAGCCAACAACTATAGCGCCCCAGGATTTTATTCAAATATAAATGCAATTTACTTTTACAAAGAAAAGTTTACCGCTAAATTAATTTTTTTCCACTAATACACGATTAATCAATTATGTTAAGAAATTCATTTGGATTTAAGAAAGTATAAAAATTTGTATATTTTCATGCACTAATACACATCATTTGATATAATTTAATATCAAATATTTGTTAATATATTTAAATTTAGTAAATAAAGTATTAACATAATGTTAAATTAAAGTCATTAATGTGAGTGAAATTAATATTAAAATTGAGTATAAAATATAAGTGTAAGATTGAGTTTGGTATAGGTGTAGAAATGGAAGCAAAGTTTTTTTTTTTTTTTTTTAATACTATCGCTTTTATTCTCATAAAAGGTAAGAGGTGTGCGTAACTTTCATTTCAGTGGACATAAGGCATGTCCAAATCTCAAAATGTACCAAACCCCCCACGGTTCTTGTATCTCAAACTGTCAGAAGACTCAGAACTATCCCATAATGTAGCAGTTTTTTAGATGCAAGTCCCTGTAAAATGCATATCTTCGTATCAATTGTTTGCGATTGAATTAGATTGCTTATTTGAATGAATAAAAAAGTAAATAAATTGAATAAAACAAAAAAAAAAAGTAAATAAATTTATGCATGCAAGATGATGTGTATAAATGAGTAGCATTATTTTCTATTGTGTACACACCACAAGAACATTGGTCGATGTGAAAATTGTTGGGTCAAGAAAGTCAATTGCAGAAGCGAAACAGTAAAATAGTAAAATGTAAGAGGAGAGAGATGGAAAAGAACACAGTTAATTTATTTAATGTGGGAAAACCTACTCCAATGTGAAGAAATAAAAACTCACGGGATACTAGTTCAGAATCAAACTTCCACTATAAGAATAATGAGTTATAAGATTCAAACATCCTTAGTCTTTCACCGGAGGTACAATCAAACTTCACTACAATGGTTCTAATTAGGAGTGTTAACGGGCCGAGCCGAGCTTTGATCTTAACAAACCAAGCCCGTATTTAAACGTGTCCGACTGGCCTTAGCCTGTTACCTGTTACGAATATAATATTGGCCTGTGGCCTGATTTATTTACAAAAAATAAAAGCCTGTGTGAAACCTGTCTTAGCCTGTTAGCATGTTAAAGAAAATAAATAAGAGAGCAGAATTTCACAAAAAATCAATTTCCAGATAGAAACCTTAGCTTCCAAATTGCAGCAATAATTTACAAAGTCTACAATAAATAAATAAAATTAAAGTGAGAGAAGGTAGATAATAGGTTATATTATCTTAGCCCATTATAAAAAAAGTGCCAACAAAAATAAAAATAAAATAAATAAAATAAAAAATAAATTGACACAAACGAGCAGTGCACAGTGGAACGAATGAGTTTTTGTGGGTTTGTTTGTGTGAAGGAAGATGAAAGATAATATAGAACAACACTAGTAATTCCATAAATATACATAAATTCAATATATATCCAAATAGTATAATATAGAACAAAATCATTCAAAAAGTCTGTTAAACCAATAAAATGGGGTGAAATAAATTGATGAGAGAGAGTTATTACAAGTAGTATAAAAAGTATAAATAAATATTTATATACTAGGCTAGCCTGGGAGGGTCTAAGACCGAGCTTCTGAATTAGAGCCTGAGGCCTTTTTATTAAACGAGCTTTTATACAAGTCCAAGCCTGGTTCCAACACGAGCTTTTATTAAACGAGCTCAGGCCTTACGAGCCGAGCCAAAGGCCCCTGACTCGTTTACCACCCCTAGTGGTAATATCAAACTTTCCTAAAGAGGTCTCACTCAAATTTCTCTCGAGAGGTATTCAAATTCTTTTTCATATCTCTAAATCTTACACACTATAAGCTTATATAGGAGACGGAGATGATTCTAGACATTAAACCATTTAAGGATGTGTCCCTTGAGTCTTGCACCTTCATTTATGGAGAGACATTGAATCACTCAAACGTTATGACCTTTGAGCCTTGCACCAAAAATGGAGAGTTCCAACCTTTTGGAACTTGAGCCAAACATTGAAGAAGGAACAACTATTAACAAAAACAATAATAATTATTTGCAACTCATTTTTATTACATTATTCTTACATCATTTCTTTTTTATGAAAAGATAAACGCAAATATATATACATTTTATTGGGTTTTTTGTATATTTTTTTTCAAAATTAAGAAAAGTATACACATGTATATCAATGTGATTTGCAGATAACCAATGAAATATTGGAACATAATAAATGCTAATATTTGTCAACCTACATGTTGGATGGGGTGGATGGAATTTAAGCATTGTCCATTTAATGATACGATGTACTACATATATATCGGTGATTAAAATCTCAACCAACATGTTAGATGGGGTGGATGGAATTGAAGCATTGTCAATGTCCATTTAATGATTCGATGCATAGTTCATCTTATTTAACCTGAAGAAGAGGAAAGTGGAGCGTACAGAGAAATTTGTGGTTATTTGACCTTGTCAATGCTCAAAGTTTCAAACTTACAAATATGTATTCAGTGTGTTTCTAGAAAGGCATATCACCGATTGGAAACATAAGGTCCTTGTTGTCCATCCAAATCGCCAGTCCGGGATTTGAATATAATATTGTTTGTTAGCATAGGGCGCCATTCACCATTCTAGGAATTTAGTAATCAAATTTAGATTATACTATTAGCTAAAAATTGTCGCGTTATTTTAGTGTAGGATATATTTCTCAGGTGATCATGTCTTAGCTTTGGATCATCAAATACATTCATGTGATTGCTGAGACTAATTCTTGTGCTGTTGAAAAGCTTAATATCTCTCTCTCTCTCTCTCTCTCTTTTGCGGTAAAAATACTCATCATTTTTCTAGCCAATGCAAATTTGTCATACTCTTCAAGAAAGGTAATGTGCTAAGGCTTTAGTCAAAGCAAGAAATACAAGAAAATGCGGTAGTCATTGTATCGGGTTTATAAAAATTTCGTCACTAATAATTTTTTCTCTTGTAGTGTAATTTTCTATACTTCAAAATTTCAAACTTTAGTTTACAAATATTTATGTGCAACAGCGAATAAAACTATAACTAAGCAGATTAGCAATTAACTTAAAATATATAAACTTCCACTCTTGCTCAACCAGACAGGGAAAGACTTAGAAACCAAACAAAGAGATGCACAAGATATTTGATTTTTAGAAGTAGGCAAATGTTAAACACCGGGTAAGTAACTCACAAAATTTTGACAGAGATAAAAAAAGAATAACAGCAAGATAGATTAAAATAGAGGGAGTTCAAAGTGTTTTTCATTTTTATAATTTTATTGCATAATCAGTGAATACTATGGACACAAAGGATAAGCACCAACTTGTACAAACGTAAGGGAAAAAGCAAAGGTTAACAAATCAGTGAGTAACCTTGCAGAGCAAACAGGAGCAGACTTTTGCAGGTTAACAAATCAAAGGTTGCATTTTTTTTGTCCTTTAATTAGGAGCTTGCTCTACTGGCGAAGGATTGAAAACAACACTTCAAAGTTTACTTATTTTTATTTTGTTGCTAGACACCGAAAGGATGATGGTATAATTAACTTGACTTCTCATTTTCTACAATAAAAAGTTTCTATGCATCTTCGAACTAGGACAAATTATCATCATAATTTGCAAAACTTAAAGAGTAATCGAAGAAGAAGAATTACAACAAAACTTTCTTATGTATAAGTGAGTACACTTCCATACATAATCACATAGCATTAATTTACTGAATGAACTCATGCTCTCTTCGTTCCTCAGCAAAGAACAAAACATTAGAATTTAACAAAGTCTTCCTAGACCTAGAGTACAACGCATTGCTATGTATAGTTTTCTCCCTCCCACTAGTGAAACTTCAACATTATCATTTAGTACAAGTAGACATAATGCTAACTCGGTTCTGTGGGAGCTCCACAAGCTCACGAGCAACATCTTTGAATTCGAGAATTCCTCCTTCTTTGCATTTTGATAGCAACCTAGCCGCTTCTTTCTTTGTCATCTTTACCTTCACTCTGATCCCTGTTCTTTCTCCTAATTCATTACCAGTACATCTTCCTTTCACGAGGTTCTTCTCATTGTCTTCTTCTCCCATAACCGTAGATTCTGAATCCGCAAACCGAACACTTTTCTTCTTCACTGCCTTGCTTGGCGGTGGAGATTTCTTTTTGGTTAACTCGTCTCTGTATACTGCCTTTGTGACTTTGAGCTGTTCTACTATTTTTTCATCTGATATTTTGCTATTAAGGCAAGCAAACATGGTGGGGAACATGTTTTTAGAAAGAGTGATACTAGCAAGAAGGAAGAGGGTGAAGCAAAATGGAAATGCAAGAGTGATTCTATAAATAGCCACTTACCAATTATAATTAAGTGTGACGTGTCAACCGGGGCATAAATTTACCTTAAACTTCTTGCTGCTGAATTAGTGAGCTAGGAATCAAGGTAGAGAAAGGTCATGTCTGCGCCCCTATTAGTCAAGCTTCTAGTGGGTAACGTTTTTTTTTTTTGGAGGGGGGATTTGGCTCCTATTTTGTATACGAGGTAGTATCATTTGACATCAGTGTCAAATTTTAAATTTGACACCTAATCTGATAGCTGTTAGATTAATAAAGATCAATGGTGTCACATGCTTGCAAATCAGAATCGTTGATCTTTTTTTATCTAACGGCTGTCAGATGAGGTGTCAAAGGATCCTACCTCTTTGTATATATTATAATAGGAAAAATATTTTCTTATGTTGTAGAAGAACGGTGCAGTATTTTTTTTTTTTTGTCTTTTTATTTTTAAATAGATGTGGACCCATGTAATAAATATTTCTATAACATGAAAATTAAAACCAATTATAACAAGTGACACTACATTGATGTCTAAAAAACTAAATAAATAGCCAATCTTGAAAGGGTCAATACTAGTAAATACCCTTAGGGTCGTTGATGGTTTATTACTCATCCCATTTGTCAGGTAACATGAATACGTTGGCAACCTCTCTAGTCATTAGTTTGGCCAGTTCAAGAGAGTGACATATCCATTATTAGAGCCACAAATTAGCGGCTTGATCTAATCCTGCAATCCACATATATAGTTTGATGTTTGAAGCCCTTCTTATACGATATGATTGTCACCACTTGACAGTTGCTTAATTATTTATCGTGCAAGACTCGTTCAACTTAATTTTATCGACAAAGTTTAGTGAGGTGGCATCGGATGTGGCTATCTTACAATTCCGTATAACGCCCGTAAACTATATACTTGAGGCAATATCATTTATATAGAAACTTTGGAAGTTTTGATCAAGGCTTTAATTTATAAATTGAAAGTGCTTCTGAGAAAGACTCACTTTGTATAATAGATATCATTCACTTTGTATGGGGGCTGTTAGATTTATGGCATGGGCTGATTGCATTTTGTAAATTTTGATTCTCGAAGCGTAACAGGAGAAAACCCAAGAAGCAGACAGTGGAAGTTGGCACTTGAAAAATCGCCATCAATCAAGTGCGTGTTGAAAGTTGACACAGTCCAAACTCATCTATATGTCTCTTAAATTGTGTTTTTTATTTGAAATATTTCTTCATAGATATTGACTACTTTTTCATCCCTTTGTTCTTCTGTCTTTGTTGAAGACCAAAGTTTGGCACGCTAGAAAGTGAAACGAGGAATGAGACGTGAAAAAATTAGGCAACCCCGGGTGCTGTTTGGATTGAAATTGGGCTAGCTAGGTCGCGGGACTAATTCAGTGATCAATAATAATGTTGAGATTTCAAACCTTCAATGTTTTACCCTCTTGAAATCAAGTATTCAGGGGGCCCTCTTTGAAGAGTAATCCATCTTTTCGTAGGGTTAAATTACCGTTCAATTTAATCAAGGAGCACGACGCAACTTATGGCAAGAGACTCTTTTCTTTTCTGGAGTGAAAATGGGGTCAAAGACCCAATAAACAAAGACAAACACCTAACTTTTGTCCTCTGATGCTGTGACTACAGCTAGTTTCTTTCTGAACTTGATAATGTCCTAATTAAGTTTTTCTCGGGCCTATTTGGCCCCCCTCATAATCAACAAAAAAAAATAAAAAATCAAACACCTAACTACTATGGAAAACAGTACGAGAAACATCAGCAAAATAAAGAACAGAATCAAATCTGCAGTTCTTCTTTCTGTCCTCTTCTCTCTCCTTCTAATAAATAATTATATTTTTGTAAAATAAATTAAAAGAGAAAGTATTAGCAAAAGATTCATTATTTCAATTAGAAGAATAAGAAGAAAAAAAAACAATAATAGGCGATTAAGATGACAAAAACATAAGAGGGAAAAGTTGATAATCGAATCCAGTTACTCCTAATATCGACGAAAGGTTCGTCCAACTGTTATAACCTTATTAATAATTCATTATATTATTAGCCATATCAGATAATAATAATTATTAAGATGACAAGGTGATGTCATGGGGAAGTAAAGATATAAAAATAAATTTAATATAGATCATATACAAATAATAGTAGGCTATATATATATATATATTGTAATTGTTTTTATGTTTTTTTTATAACATAACATTATATTTAATTTTTATTTATTACGAGAGTATTACACTTAATTCTCTTCAAATATAACACGTAGGAGGAGTGATAAATAAACCAAGGGCCTTTCAGGAACTTTGACTCGGCTCGTGAAGGCCTGAGTTTATATGCCTAATATTGGTTGTTGGAACCAGGCTTGGACTTGTATAAAAGGTCGTTTAATAAAAAGATCACATGCTCCAATTCAAAAGCTCGGCCTTAGAGCCTCTCAGGTTGACCTAGTATATTAATTTTTATTTTATATTTTTTATACTACTAGTAATAGCTCTCTCTATTTCCTCAATCCATTTCATCTCATTTTATTAGTTAAACAGACTTTTTGAATGATTTTGTTCTATATTATGCTGTTTGGATATACATTGAATTTATGAAATTACTAGTGTTGTTGATTGTATATTCTGTTTTGATTAATTTTTGTTGTCTTATTTTTTTTAAATAGGCTAACAGGCTAAATCATACTTTTATTTTTTGTAAATAAGTCATACCACAGGCCAATAATTATATTCATAACAAGTAACAGACTTAATCAGGCTAACACATTTAAACACAGACTTAACCTTTTAAGACCAAAGTTTGGCTCGGCTCAGCTCCGCCCGTTAACACCCCTAATAACACGGATAAGATAAGTGTACACATCCTTAGATTAAGTTTAAAATATTATATAAAAAATTTATGCTAGGTCTTATCTGTTAAAACTTAAAAGTGTTTAATTTTTTTCTCCTTTGGAGCCATTAATTAATGGGCAATAGCATCCAGCCAAGCAGCATTGTCTAGTAACTAGCTTATGTTCTACCATCTTATTATGTCATAAACATTCTTTGTTATAAAATATAAAAAACAATCCCTGGGACAGATTTGTTTTACTTAGGGATGTAAATGGGTCAGACTGGCCTGACCTAGCTTACAGTCCGACCTACGTTGAGCCTGACCTAGCCCGGTTTACGTTGAAAAGCAGAGTAGGCTTAGGCTAATAAGAAAACATTTTTAACAAGGAAGCCATAGGCCAATTTTATCAAGCCTGACATAAAGCCTTGTAGGCTGGCCTAATTAATTTTTTAAAATAAAATAAAATAATATATTTATTTTAGGTGGCTTTATTTAATGCTCACTAGTGAAATTTATATCTCGTGTAAAAAAATGCAGCAATTTATAAACACGTTAATGACTTGTAATATCAAGCGAATATTTTAAAAATTGTTAAAAATATTTTTAATTTTTTTTTAAAATATTTAAAAATATATCACTAGGGAGGCCTACAAGGCCTGTAGGCCATATAAGGCTCTATAATTTTTAAAAATAGGCTAAGCTTGGCTATAAATAAAGCATTTAGTAGGCTAGATAGGCTGAGTATTTTTTTACGTAGGCTTAGGCAAGGAAGGCTAAAGCCCGGCCCAGCCTGGCTCATTTACACCCCTAGGTTTACTTATATGTTTCATTAGTAGGGGTGTTCATCAACCGATCCAAACCAATTCAAACCGCGTTTGACCGAACCGAAAAACCGATAACCGAATAAACCGAAAATCAAAAAATCAAAAATCGAATAAAAATCGCAAATTTTAATTGGATTGGTCGATTTTCAGATTGGTAGATGAAAACCGGTCCAATCCAAACTGATCCAATATATTAATTTTTCTTTACTTACTTGAGTCTTTCTTCAATCATATCTCCAAAATTTCTAAACCCAAGACCCATTAACCCATCAACTAAACCCAAGAAAAAATCTAGTCACATCTCATCAACAAAATTTCATCTATGTAGAGCTTCATATCTTATAGTCCAAAAAAAAACTATATTATCTAAAGCTTTTGTATTTAAAAAAATATATTACAAAACCAATATACACAAAAGATGTTATTTGCACAATAATCATGAAATAAATTTTAAGATTTTTCAAAAAATCAAAAACTGATCCAATCCAAACCGAAAAAAATTGGATTGGATCGAATCGGATTGAAAAAAATCCAAACCGAAGGAATTGGATCGAATGATTTTTGATTTCAAAACCGATTCAATTCAAACCGCGAACACCCTGTTTATAAGCTATATCATGTGTAACTTGCGTAGAAAAAATAGTCACGCACTAACGCTTATTGGATTTGTCTAGTCCATATTATAGAGTGGTACCTAGAAAAATTTAGCTTTCGCTATCGTATGAGATAAAAATTAGGTAAACATGACACACGCATCTACGAAAAACAAGGCACGATTATCAGGATTATGCATATGATTTCTTTTGACATAAAAAGGTTAACCTAAAAAAATTTAGGTTTATGTATAATTCCTAATCACATAAGGTTAAATCTGGTCCAAATAGGTGACTTGAAGGAGTTGAACTCATGGGATCTCCTTCGTTGTGTGAGATGGGATTTTCAATGTTGAGGTGAGCTTTGACTTATACAAGAGGGGATAAGTACTTTCACGGCACCCTGACATTCAATCATTTTATGTTTAATGAGCTTAAGTATATTGAAAAAATACGATCATACTTATGTTTTGAACATCTCTTTTATGGTGCGGCATGACTTGCTCAATGCCTTATTATGCGACTTTTGTTGGAATTTACATATAAATTGTATAGAATCTATTGATTATGAATAAGAAGTGGGTTAAGGAAAAAAAATAGAAAAATGAAGTTGAAGGGGTGTGTGAATTTAAGAAGTCTCACATTAAACAAGGAGGTGAGAGAGTTTATAAGCTCCCACCTCACACTCCTAAATTGGCCCTTGGGTTACAC